AAAAGTCATTTATTTCAAAAATAGTTCAGTATTTACTAACATTTTAAAAAATATGCTAGTCAAACATATTTCCCTGGAAGAAACTGCATCTTATGACACAATAAAGCAGATCTTCCGTCTTGACTTAAAAAATATCTGTATCTATGCTCAAACAAGGAGAAGTTGTCATGGGTGCCTCAAGAGGTGTGGAGTGCAGACTGGCTCGCTCGGGCTTAAATCACCGGCTATGATGGCATTACATTCATGGGCCTGGGTAAATACTCCCTTCTGTACGGAGGAGTGGAGCGGCACTCACGGCAGAGTGGAGTTCCTTCTGCTCTGTGCGCTCGCTCAGTGCTAATGGAAAGTGCTGGTGCTTTTCCCTCTGCTGTGTCCCAAGGCAGTGATCTCTGGACGGGACAGGATGAGTCAGTGCACTGAGCCACCCCACCAGAATGCAGCCCTGGAGCTCTCTCCCCTGGGTTTCAAACAGCAGAGTGCTGGCCAGGAGGACTCCCCAAGCTCCCAGCTCTGCAGAAGAATGACCCAGAACACTAACTCTAAACATGGATTAACTTTTAAGAGCTCTGATGGCAGGTGCTTCTCGCTTGCAGTAAACTGACCTGCATGAGGCAGCAATAGGTCCCTGTTGACACAGACAAACCCATTGTCAGTTTATCTTGGGCTTGCTCGGAGATCTCATCACAGCGTATGTCCCCATGAAAGCTTTCTGTCAAACCCTAGCTGGAGACACTTAGAATGTGGCTTTCTTGGGAAACAGGACTGTGATAGAAGTAAGTTAGATGAGGTCATCAGGTAGGGTCTGGTCCACTGTAACTTGCCTTTAAAGCTGGGGCAGGGAGAGTTAGGCCACAGAGCCACATACCAAGGGCGGATGACATGAAGATAAAGTCAGGGATCTAGATGATGCTTCTACAAGCCAAGGAAGTCTCATGGCCTTCAGCAGTCACTAACCCTGCAAGCATCTCGATCTGAGGCCTGGAGCTTCCAGAACCTTAAGATAATCGATTTTCATTGAACCCTGCAGTCTGCAGACTTTATAGCACCTTCACTCAGCCCTGGCAACTGGTTACAGCTTGTGTCTATCTGTATGTGAATAAATCCTCCCGCTACTGATAAAAAGCAACCGCCAGTGCCTGACCTTTGTCCTCATAAAGTAAAGACGCCAATGTGCTGTAATCTCCAGGGAGACGCTTAAGGAAGTGTTGACCAAGGAACCATTGCTGCAGTTCTACCATGTCCCACCTCAGCAGCTTCTCATCAGGATGGGAAGATACAGACACCTTAACGCACTGCTTTGCCAGGGTGTAAATGAGGCCCAACAACCCGAATCATTAATGCTTCTGCTAGCAAATGAATTAAGGGCATTTTGGTTCCAATTCATCACAAGCTTGAAGGTTCATACGTTTTCTTCTGATGGACAAGTCAGTAACCAATGAAAAGGCCCAAAGGATGAGTTCAACAACCGTCAGTCAATGGCCTGGATGCCACAGCTTGAGGCACCTTCCTTGCAAGGTGCATGCAGCAATCAGACTCAAATGCCTGGAGGAAATGGGAAAGGGACTGAGCGCCTAGGCTTCCAGCAGCCTTGTCTGTGAAGAAGGCCCTGTTGCTGCTGCCACCATCCAACTTCCGGTAGGGTTTCACTTGTCATACCTTACAGTCACCTTCAGTTATAACCAGTGTATAGGGTAAAGCTCTAAAACTGTGCCACTATAATAATTTGATTTTTATGGCAGCTCTTCCTACAACTAATTTTTAGCATATTTTAGGTTATAGTTATCACTTGTGAGAAATCTACATCAAAAATGACAAAGAGGATCTGCAAGCTTTTTCCTTATCATGTAGAACACCTGAATCTCTCTGTCAACATCAGTGGTTTCTACCTCCTGTACCTGTGGTCATGTAGAACACCCGAAACCCCTGCCAATATCAGTGCTTTCTGCCTCCCATGCCTGTGGCTCCCTCTGTGCTTTACAAGGAAAAAAAGCTTCTTGGATTTCTGAATATTTACACCCAAGAAAATTAATTGGTCCATTGGGCAAACCAAGGCCATGTCAAACACAGTAGTGGAATTATAGCAATGCAAGGGCCATCAGACATGTGGAGTGCTTTTCCCTTGTCCATGACCTGTTTCAGAGCCTCCCATTGCCCTCTTATTTAACAGCTGGCTAGTTTGCAAAACTACTAACTCAATATTTAGGATGCTAGATATGTGGTGATGGCCATGAATATGAACATGAGGGCCATTTAAAGAATCCATCTTATGTTAGCTTTCAGTCATAATTGAAAGAAACTGGCTCAAAAAGGGCAAAAATGTGAATTCAAGGTCACCTGAGCCTATATGTGTGTGTATATCATATATACATATGATATATATATATGACTAAAAAGATGGAAGAAAGGAGGGAGGGCGGAAGAGAAGGAAGAATGGAGAGAGGGAGGGAAGGAAAAGAAGGAAGGGAAGAAGGGAGGGAAGGAAGAAAATGAAGGAAGGAAGGAAGGAAGGAAGGAAGGGAGGGAGGGAGGGAGGGAGGGAGGGAGGGAGGGAGGGATGGAGGGAGGGGAAAAAACATGAAAAACCCAAGAACTAGGCAATGGCAGAGAATTTAACTAGGAAACCTAACACCCTGGGTTCAATTCTCAACAGTGTAAAAGTACATAAACTCAGAAACAAGTAACAATCAGAAATCAAACAAATTGCAAATAAATATTTGTATTTATAAGCACCTACCCCACAACTTTGCCCAAAAGTTGAAGACATGTCAAAATAGCACCCCCCAACTAGCTAAAAATACTATCTAATTATAAATAAATATACTAAACCAGTTCACACTTAATGGAATTCATAGTACACACTTAAGTCCTCAGTAGGTCGGTGGTTATACAGATAGCATTGCATAGGAGCTCAGAGGCAGCCATAAAGAGTAGAGTTTCTGGGGGCCAGGAAGAAGTATCAGCCCAGTGCGACCATGCCTGGAAGAACAAGTCTGATCTAGAAAGCCGTGGGGACAGCGAGGAGCCTCCTTGGAGACACAACCAGATGGAGAGGGGCACTGACCAACTCTGCTAAAACTGTAATGTTTGGGCCTTTCTGGTCTCCGTTTATAAGGTGAGGAGGGTAAGAATCAGAAAGGAATGCCGAACCCCAATTATCTCCACCTCCAAAACAGGGCTAAGAAAACAGCATTGTATTACAGGATACCTTAGCTGGGGTGGGTGGTGGTGGGGTAGATAAATTCCACCTTTAACCTTGTGTGGGGTTTAAACTGACATACTGGATTAGTAAGCATCTTCTCTTCCAGGGAAGCTATGGCATACTAGGCAGGAGTCCTTGCTCTGTTTCTCAGCTCTCTTTACCGCCATCACTCTGGTGTAACTACAGACACGGTGTTAATAACATCCCAGCTCACTTTCAGCCGGTGAGTTTCATATGTACCTGTTGATATACACAAATACCCTGTCCCCTCCCAGAAAATCACACAGGAATTCCGGAATTATACTTAACTGCCTGATTAATTACTGGACCACCATGGAAATTACTGTCAAGATTACACAATCATTCCATCTCTGAGTTGCTTGATAAACGTTTATAGTTTCATGTATATTTATATCCTGCTATAAAACAAATGAAGGTACATCGAAGCTACAGTAAGTCTATGATATTCACAGCCTTAAAATAACTCACTAACTACAGACAGTTCCCTGAGCAATTACAAGACGTTCTATGTTAATTTAGAAAGGAATTCCAAACAAGCCATTTAAAACCTAATAAGATGCCATTAAATGAAGGGGGACAAGGGAGGGGGAAGCTAAAGAAAACCCTAAGGCTTGAACCAGTAGAAATGATTCTCAGAGCTACTGACCCTTGCAGGATCCATGTTTTACTTGGGTTTCTAGACGCGAGGCAGATTTCTAATTGAAGGTGATTATCTAGTTACTACGTCCCAAATTGCACACATCTCTTGTATTGGTTCACACCCACAACTAATTAGATGGAGCAGTTATCAATCTGAAGGCCCATGGAAACTGTTGCATTGATCTGCCAGCCACACACTGAAAAGAAGTGCTGTCAGCTCGGAGGTGCTCCGTGCTGGTCCTGAGGACAGCCAGCCCTTGTGGCTCGTGTACATCTAGGAGCTGAACTGTGGGGCTGATCCACTGGGGGTGGATTCACAGGGATGTGACAGAACAAAGGTTCAGGTTTGTTCTTGGGTTTTCTGAAGTATGTACCCCAATATGTATGCTAGCCAATCCCCAGAAATAGACACACTGAGACAGGCACCATCATCACAAGGAAGACACAGCTAGCAACGTACTATTCCAAAGACACATTCCTATCTAACAGATTTTATCTCCACACATTTCTGAACTCCATGCTTCCAATCAAAGATGGGTGGATAGCCTGACTGAGGAAATGCAATAGCATAAATAAACAAATTAATTAATCGATTGATTAATTAATAAAAATACAGACTTCCACAAAGGCAAAGATGCACCTCGATAAAATATAGCTCCCATTAGTTGGGTTAATTAAGATAAACACACAGGTCGTTGGGAACCCCCAAAGTAGACGAGAGGTAATTTACCAAGGAAAGACAAAGACAAGGGTGGCATTCATTCAAAGTCATTCATTAACCGCACGGGAGGGCTGAGGCCCTTTCTTAATATTGCAGTTGTCACAGCCGATTATCAAAATGGCATGTGACCAAACAGCTCACAAAGGGCACACCACACCTTGTTTGCACAAAGAAAATACGCAAGTGCACCTAGTCACATCTGTTACCATCACTACTAAACACCGACACGCGTGAAGGGTTTTTACTGGTGTACATAGGGCTTCCACAGCAACGATAACCTCCCAGCCAGTCAGACCCTCAGAGTAAACCCTACCCTGATTCACAGGGGAGAAGAAACTCACACAGCGCGAGGCTGTACTCCGGGTGTTCAGACAGCAATTGCGCGAAATCTCTTTTGGCAGGAAAAGCCCCTGTCCTTACCTCCAGGGTCATGGTCACAGTGCTGATAGCCACTTTTATTTCACCATCTGACAGCTCCTTTAGATCTTTCAGAATTGTTTGTTCAATACTTAAACCTGTGGACAGCAAGAGATTAAAAAAAAACAATTTATACTTGGGATCTGTTAAAAAAATACATGTTGGGGTTATTTAAAGAGTTTATTCTACTAAGCTCAATGCTTTATAGTATTACTTCTATCTGTAATAAACACACTCTAAGTCAGAAATAACGTCTGTGGCAGCATCTACATCAAGTAAGATGCAGGTGGGAAATAGAATTTACCCCTCACCATGCCAAAGTCGGCTCTTAATGGCAGCACACTTACAGAGGGGTGGCGGGATAAAGGAAGAAATGGAAGATTAAGTAGCCAGGGACTAGCAAGGAGCAAAGGCAAGGGATCTAGGACTAGAGAAAAGGATCCGTCAGGGTCTGATGTCACAGCAAGAGTGCAGGAGGAAAGGCGTGCACAGCCTTAGTTTCCTTACTTCTGCTCCCACTATTCTTCCCATTGGCCAAACAGAAGTCAGAGACTGCAACAGGACACACTCCAGAGGCCGAGACCAGGCTGGCTGGGGAAGGAGTGGGCAGTCTTACCATATAAAATAGCCAAGTAATAGCCTCAAAAGTCCCAATTTAGGTGGCCCTCTATAATTTTATAATTGCCAGTATAATTTTATAAAACCTTATATATGTAGCTCATAAAACTGTCATAACAAGGCGCCCTGTTGAACATCTCAAATTCTGGCACTTGGGAAGCACAGGCAGGCAGATTTCTAGGGGTTCGAGGCCAGTCTGGAGTGTGTTCCAGGCAAACAAGTCAGGTTGCATAGGGCCAGCCTGTCTTACACAAATAAAAGCTGTTTTAATTGACTTGGCCACCCCTGTAGTAATCTCTGGCAGTAAGTGTTACTCAAGCCCTTCCTTGATGACAGGAACAACCTGAACCGGCAAAGCTGTTGAGAACTATAGTTGGCTGACTGGAGGATTTCTGTGAAATCTATCGCAGGCAAACAAGAACAGGTATGTCTTAATGTTCAACTGGCCTTCTCTATGGAAAGATTCACTACAGAGCCCTGGAAAGCACAGGCATTCTTTCTGGATGCTTAGGAAGACAGTGCACTGCCCACCCTGCCAGTATAAAGCACGCTCGCTGTCCATCACAGCAGCATGGGGACACATTCTCATTTGACTCAGAGTGAACTGTGACTCATTTTGATTTCTAGAGCACATCGTCGCAAGAGAAGTTTGGGTGGCTCAGGGAATGAATGAAGCCATTCACCACTGCGCAGCGCTGCATAGACACTCGTGCACAGGAACTCATCGATGTGGCAGACGCTGGCAAGGCCCCGCCAACTTCCCTAACCTCTTTTTAATCTCATTTTGGCCAGCATCATACTCCACTGGCCAGCTGAGATCTTAGCGGACCACTAGAGCCAACTTTGGAGCATTCACTCCCCACTGGGCTAGGGAGCCCTTACTATTTCAGAGGTCTGCCGATTTAACAACTGAACCTACTTACTAGCGCTTTGTCTGTTTCTGTGATATTGAAACATCGACCGTGACTAATTCTGCACTGTTAACCCAATATTAGCCAACTCACAAGATTCCAAAAAGTTAACCACCAGGCCTTAGGTTCAAGGTGGCCTGTGCCCATTCACCTCTGCACTCTATAGGAGACCACCCTAAGGTTTGGATTTAACTTTTTCCCAGAGTTCCCTTGTGAGCTCTGGTCTCCTACAGGGCTTCCTTGCTCGCTAAAGGACTTGAGAGACTCCTCAGATAAACGCTTTGCCCCAAGGGAACTCCAAAGTAGGGGAGAAAACTTGGTAATTTAGTATTTTCTCCTTAAAGATGGGCCTTCTGGGTTTAGTTAGCTTCTGCCCAGCTCACTTGCCACGGCTATGTGCCCTGGATGATGGGAGAGCAAAGAAGCCTGTCTGGGGTTCAGTGTTCTCATCTGGAAAGTGGGGTGTCATGAGGCTTCAGGAAGATCATCCTTGCAAAGTGAGACTATCAGAACCTTGTGGAGATTCAGCGCTCACTGAAACACAGCTGTTTATTATTAACAACATTTGATCCGGATAATCCGATAATCCGCTGTCCCACGAAAGCCGAGATTTAGAGCACTATTTCATTGACTTAGCCGTCTTCTCTCCCTTCCTTCTAAATGAAATCAGAATTATGAAAGCCAATTGTGTTTGGCATTGCTCCAGCGATGTTCTCAAAACAATTTATTCAACAGGTACAGACACTATATGCATTAGCCCTTGGATTAGCTAAACACCCGGGCAGAAACCTGGGCAGGGGGTTCCAGCATATGATGCCCACTCCCAGACCAACAGCACAAACCCAGCAGCCCCTCCACAGGCACAGAGAAAGAGGGAGGAAAGTGCAAGCATGCTCAGATTGACCTCCTGGTAACACTCCTGAGGCAAGTCACCCCTCCTGGAAGCCATGGGAGCTAGGACAACCACTCACCCTGAGCACTGAGCTGGGTCTCCTGCAGCACGCTGATAATGTCATCTCTGGGAGGCAGGTTGGGAAACTGTTCTTCCAGGATGGAGAGAATGTCCTCCTGCTTCTCCGGGAGCTCAGGGTCCATGCTCATCCACTTGAACAGGATGCTGCCTGGAAAGCATGGGTACAAATGCTCTTGAGCTCTCTCTCCACCAGCCAAGACAGGAGCAGTGAAAGTCAAGTCCTCATGCTGCGGGTACTGACCTCAGCGGCCAGACTGCTCCCTACTCCCCAGGGCACAGAGTTTGGGAGGAAAGAGCAATACATCGCCACATAAGCACGGAAAAGGAGACAGCCTTGGTTTTAAATGATTTCAAAACAGAAATTAATGACAAACTATTCAAAAATTTCGTCAATTCTATCCCCTTTAAGGGGACAGAGACTATTATTCCAACTTTCCATGCTACTGATTTTACATATTAATTTACTTCTTTTCATAACCAAATGATTGTACAACCCCACAGTGCACAGCTACACAGTCTGATGGCCTGGCTACCCTGAAGGCTGTTTCTAGCCTTTCAGCTACCATACACAGCTCTGAAGTAATTTACAGTTATCGAAGGATACAGTCTCACAGGCTGGCTCTAAACTTCAGGTTAAGGTTGCTAATTTGCCACTCTGGTTTTAGTGGGAAATGTTAAAAATTTAGGCCAAAGAGCTAGAGGCGGGTAATAAAAAAACTGTCTTCCTGTCTGTGTTCATGCTCTAAGAACAATGGGGGTCTCCACAGAGGTTTAAATAGGAGAAGCATCCTCTTATTTACATTGCGTATTTTTGTAGTCTACCTACCATGTGGAGAACAAAATAGGAAAGGAAAGCCAGGGAGCGTGGCTGCTTTTATTTTCTTTTGTGTGTTTGCAACATCTTACCATGAAGAAAAAGGGACAGATTTAGTAGAAACAACCAAGTAAAAGTAGAGGGTGACCAAAGAGATTCTGAGTAGATTTTGGGTCTAAAATCTAAAAGACAAAAATGATTTCCCATTTGTTTTTAAGGCAAACACAAATCCAAATTTTACAAAAGATGTTCACCAGCTCCTGGATCTGGTAGACCAGCTGAACAAGAACCAAGTTCTGTGCACAGAAACAATCCTGTATGTTTGTATGTGACTGTATCAGAGAGCCCCTGGCAGCATCTTAGGAACAAGGATGGTGTACGCGCAGAGCGGAGACCCAGCATTCTAGCTGCTTCCCCGTCCAAGCAATTGCTAATTCAGAAGTTGCAGCCACTGGACAGAGAAGCCTGTGAACCCCAAAGTCTCATAAGGCCTTGCAGAAAGCCTCAGGGAAAAGGAGTTTTAGTCATCTGGGTTTTGACATGGGAGGCCTGAGGAATTACCAATCTAACTAGCTGCTCGATGTTGTAAACAGAGTTTGTGGGAACATGGCCATCTCTGCTAATTTACGTATTGTTTATAGACCATATATATGAGGGCAGACTTAAGTGTTTCAACAGAGCCTGAAATATCTGCTTGCTGGCCCTCTTTGGGAAAGATTTGCCATCTGCTGCCAAGGAGAAAAATAAAACAAAAAACAGAACATTTTCCGTGTGCTGTAAGCCCTGCTTGGAGTCAGCTAAAACAGACCGATGGGGTCTCTGCCACCCTTCCAGCTCCTCTGAGGCGTGAAAGTTAAGTCCACTCCGGAGAAAAAGAACTCACCATCCCCTCACTGACTTGATGCTGTCTATAACTAACGTTCAGCCATCATTCAAAAGCTATTAGATATAAGGGACCTAAAAACACATGAGTGGAAGCGGGGGGGGGGGGGGGCTCCTGAGGAGACAAATGGAACAGAGTCAGAGGGACTGAGGGGAAACTAGCTGGAGGATTAGAATCTGCCACCGATACAGGGGAAAATTTACAGCCCTGGTTTTAATGACTGAGTTTAATAACCCCAAAAGGTTTTCCACAGTGGATCAGATGTGATGAGGAACTGAAAACCAAGTCAGAAAATATCTGTTCTAAAGCATGAAGGGGGGAAAAAAGCGGCCAAAACTACAGAGAAAAGCTTAAGGACCTAAGATCATGGGGCTGGTTTCAATGTGTGTGTGACAGCTTCTGCTAGGAAAGGGAGAGAGAAATGTAACATTTAAGAAAAACTACAAACCAAAACCATGAGTAACATAAGGTAAGACAGCTGTAGGCAGTAAAACTGTAACAATTACATGGACGAAGATTAAATCAGTGAGAGAGAAAACACACTCCAAACAAAAAAACATGCAGCGAAACAGAACTGGATTTCTCAGTTAAAAGACTGGAAATAGGAAGAGGGCGGAAATGTGTCTTCAAAATGCAGACATGTTGTCCCCATCCTAGAGCCGCATAGTCGATGGAAACATGGCTGAATCCAGACCTTTCTAGGGAAAAGGTAGAAGTATGTCACAAGAAATCCTACTCTAAAATAAACAAGAAGGCAAAAGACCATGATTTCAGACAGAAGCAAAACCCAATGCCAGTAAGAACATTCTGATGCTCTAAGTCTGTGGTCAGCGTGAGTCAGCACTCCCCGGGGGACCGGCATCTCAGTCACTTTAAAGTATATGGAATTAAGCACACCGCAATAGCGATGAGATGCAGAAGGGGTTAGGGAGAGAGGAGAGAGGAATGGGGAGGAGGGAAGAGGGAAAAAGGGGGAGGAAAGAAGAGAATGGGAAGGGGAGAGGAAGGGGAAGAAGAGGGAGATGGGAGGGGAGAATAAAAACCACCTTTCTTCTTATAAGATGTGTGCAAAAGCCTTAAAGACCCTACTAATGATATGTCAATGGTATGTAAATTTAGGAATTTCATGCATCTAAGGCCAATAACACAATACTGTATCTATATAAACAATCGCAAAAATATAAAAAGCCAAGTTTTAAAAATGTAACGGCATCCAAACATGAAATACTTAAAAATATCTTTCATAAATACGGGATTGGTATGGTCAGATTAAGAATCCACTTTGTTTTGATTTGAAGATTTCTTTATTAATGTTTAATTTTGATAAGATGAATAAGGTTGTAGTATAATAATAAAACTTATTACCGTGGTAGAATCTAAGCATATACTTCAACATTGTTAAGTATCCTGCATGGTTTGTATGTGTCGTTCATTTCTAAATGACTAAGAACAAACATTATAAAGTGGTGAATAAGTCCCATAAGAAACAGTGAGGATAATTGTGTAATGGTATGTTTTTATGGAAGTATTTTAAGAGTTAAAGTATTTTTTTCAAATTCTACAAAAGTAAGGTAGCATTTTTTACATGTTTGCGTACCCCCCTGATATTGGGCTTAACAGAAGCCAGCTGGATTTTCAGATATGTTTTCATGCTCTTCATAGTGCAGAGTTATCTCGATGGAAGAATATAAGGGAAGTCTCCACACAGATGGACAGATAGGAAGAAACAAAGGGCACTTTAATATTTGCTATAGACAACTGTGGATCCGTCATGTGGCTGAGAGTCTTGATTATAAAACACATAGAAGAGAAAGGCGATGTTTAAAATTAGCCTCAAAGATACTGCATTAAACAAAACCCCACATCATGGCTCACTGAAAAAGCCTCCTGTCCCTGGCTGAGTCAGTCTGACTCCTGTCCCTGGCTGAGTCAGTCTGACTCCTGTCCCTGGCTGAGTCAGTCTGACTCCTGTCCCTGGCTGAGTCAGTCTGACTTGACAGAAGCAAGGATATGGCTGCCTAACAAGGCCAGGGAATCCTATTCAGGCAGATGTACCCCGCAGCCTGAGTTATCGTTACTGGACAATGAGGGCTACAGACTGGCTTAATCCCAGGACTCTTTTGGAGACTTTCCACTCCACAACAGAACCATATTTATTTATGTTAGGTTTTAAAACTTTATTACTTAAAGACTTGCAAATAAACAAAAACATCAAACACCCAAATTAACCAGACCCAAAGTCTGTACAACTCCACAAATTTCTATGCAGTTAGAATAGGTATTAAGGAGGTGATCTGAGGCCAATTTTTATTCCATTTCAAATTTTGTCTTGTAATTTGTTTTGTTTTGTTGGTGGGTAAGTACATAAAATATATCTAATACTGAAAGGATAAAATTTAATGTGAAGCTCCTCTACCTCTGTTCTGAATGCCCAGAATCACATTTAGTAATTGTATAATTTTGCTAAGCATCGGTATCACAATACACAGTAACCAAAGACACCTGTCAGCACATTAGAACCTGTTCCTAATGAGTATTCACTTAACTTCTAGCAAATTCTGATGACAGAAACAATCCATAAACCTGTACCCAAAAGTATCCCAGTTATTCACAGGCTGATAAGGGGGGATAGGATTAACAGTAGGCAACAAAGAAAGCTATTGTAATAAAATATAACAAATGTTTTATTTCTGTAGAAAAAATCAACCATAATATGCCTTGCTCAAAAGAATGGGGATGTAAAAGCCCTCTTGCTAATAGCAATTGCAGCATGCTAATATTGCACATTCCCTAAGCAACTGCAGCATGCTAATACTACACATTCTCTAAGCAACTGCAGCATGCTAATACTACACATTCTCTAAGCAACTGCAGCATGCTAATACTGCATACTATCTAAACAGCTGCAGCATGCTAATACTGCATACTATCTAAACAGCTGCAGCATGCTAATACTACACATTCTCTAAGCAACTGCAGCATGCTAACCCTACAGCATCAGAAACTGGGAAATAGTCAGCATTGGAAACTGGAGTTGTCTACATGACGAATTCCTAACAGAAAAAAAAAAAAGGAAAGAAGGGCTTAAATCTCTCTTCTGTTTACCTGGGATTGATTTTTTTATATACTGAAAGAAAAATATTTAAGAATCAATAACAGGGCTGGAGAGATGGCTCAGAGGTTAAGAGCATTGCCTGCTCTTGCAAAGGTCCTGAGTTCAATTCCCAGCAACCACATGGTGGCTCATAACCATCTGTAGAGGGGTCTGGTGCCCTCTTCTGGCTTGCAGGCATACACACAGACAGAATACTGTATACATAATAAATAAATAAATATTAAAAAAAAAGAAACAGGTTTTCCCTTTAAAAAAAAGCCGGGCGGTGGTGGCGTACGCCTTTAATCCCAGCACTCGGGAGGCAGAGGCAGGCGGATCTCTGTGAGTTTGAGGCCA